CCTCCTCCTCCTCCTCCTCTCCCTCCGCCTCCCCCATCCTCCGCCTCCTCCTCCCCCAGCTGGCCGCCGTCTTACACCCACACTGCCAAACCCGACGGGCTGGCGTTCTCCGAATTACACTTCGTGCAACTTTCGGATGGGAATTGTATTTTCCCCAACCCTCCTTGGTTGGGTATTCGTTTTGAATAGAGCAGTGTGGTCTCCACTTCCTCATTCCCGTCCCGTCTCCCTGTTGCCTCCTCCTGTCTTGCCTGCGGGGGGCTGCGATCTGTGAAACTGTCGCTTTTTTTCGAGGCTTGCTGGGGGGCCCAGCACAGTGACGCCACGGGCGGACCCACATTAGACCTCGCCATCCCTGGGGGGCTGCGATCTGTGAAACTGTCGCCACGTTCGAGGCCTGCTGGGGGTCCCGGCACAGTGACGCCACTGGCGGACCCAAATTAGACCTCGCCATCCCTGGGGGGCTGCGATCTGTGAAACTGTCGCCACGTTCGAGGCCTGCTGGGGGGCCCAGCACAGTGACGCCACGGGCGGACCCAAATTTGACCTCGCCATCCCGGGGGGCTGCGATGTGTGAAACTGTCGCCACCTTCGAGGCCTGCTGGGGGGCCAGCGTAGTGACGCCACGCGCGGACCCAAATTAGACCTCGCCATCCCTGGGGGGCTGCGATTTGAGATCCCCGCTTTCGAAGTGGCTAGGGTTGCTCAGGGATTGCAACTGATCAGCTTTATCTAGTCCTTGTCCTGAAGCCAGTGTCCTGCGAGTCTCCCGAATTCCGTCTGCAGACATATGTAACCCTCGCTCCGTCATCGCCCCCCTTATAAAGTGTCCTAAAATATGTGCGCCCCGCGTTTGCGCAGGGGTTGGGTACGTCGCCAGGGTAATTTTTCGTTCCCGGGCGTTGGCACGGGGGGGGGGTGGGGGGAAACGATTTGAATGATACACTTGCGTTGCAATCGATTGCAATCGATTGGATTGCAATCGGTTGAATTGCAATCGATTCAATCGATTGGATTGCAGGGAAGGGACAGGACGGAAGGGAGGGAGGGGAGAAGAGGGAGGGGAGGGAGGAGATGGAACGAAGGGTGTGGAGGGAGGGGAGGGAGCGGAGGGAGGTGGGGAGGGGGATTGCAGTGGAATGGAGTGCAATCGATTGCAAGCGATTCGATTGGGATTTTCGATCGTCGATCGTTGATCGTCGATCGTCCATCCTCGATCGTGGATTGTTCATTTTGGATCGTCGGCGAAAGGGAGGGCGGAGGCTCCGGGGGCTGGGCGGCCAAAGGGGGCAAGGGGGGGGGGCAAGCTTCCAAGCCCCCCCCCCCTTTGGCACAAAGGGGGGGAGGGGGGTGGGAGCTTCCAGCAGGGCGGCTCCAAGGGAGGGGGGCGGTAGCTTAAGCACCCCCCCGGGGGTAGGGGGGGGTAGCTTCCGGGGCGGCCAAAGGGGGGTGGGGGGTGGGTAGCTTCCAAGCCCCCCTCCCCCTTTGCACGAAAGGGGGGGAGGGGGGGAGGTAGCTTCCAGCAGGGCGGCGCCAAGGGAGGGGGGGGTGGCTTAAGCACCCCCCCCCCCTTTGGAAAGGGAAGGGGGGGGTGGTAGCTTCGGGGCGGGCAGGGCCCAAGGGGGGAGAGGGGGGGGAGCTCGGAAGCCCCCCCCCCCCTGCAAAAAAAGTGGGGGAGGGGGGGGGCTTCCTACAAGGGCGGCTCAAGGGAGGGGGGGGGCAGCTTAAGCCTAGCCCCCCCTCCCCTTTGCTCGGGCCCTGTGGGCGCGCTCTCTCGAAGAAAGGTAGGCGAATGACGAGGAAGATGAGGAGGAGGAGAAAGAGGAGGAGGCGGAGGTGATGAGGCGGAGGTGGATGCGGGCGGTGATGAGGAACAGGGTAGCGACGAAGGCGACGGCGACGATGACGTGTACAACCAGCAGCAGCAGCAGCAGCAGCAGCAGGAGCAGCAGCAGCAGGAGCAGTAGTAGCAGCTGGACAATGTTCCGAACGGGGCATCCATAATTATGCCCAGCCAGCCTCCTGTCTGCCCGCGGGCGCCGCGCGAGGTGGACATGAAACAGACCCCGCCGAAGCCGAGCGGCGGGCCGGCCCCCTCCTGCCCCTCCTTTTCTTCCTACTCCGCCTCTGCGATGAGAGAGAGAGAGAGAGGGCGATGAGGAGGGGAGGAGAAGGATGATGATGATGAGGAGGAGGAGGAGGCGGAGGAATCTGAGGATGAGCAGGCGGAGGATGCACATGAGCAGGAAGAGAGGGAGGTGGATGGATGAGGTGGACGGAGAGGAGGAAACGGCGGAGGAGGAGCAGGGGCAATACCATGAGGAGGAGGAGGAAGAGGAGGAGGAGGACGAGGAGGAGAATGAGGCGAAGGAGGAGGAGGAGGCGGTGAATAGAGGAGGTTGATGGCGAGGAGGCTGAGGCGGGGGAGGAGCAGGAGCAATAACAGGAGGAGGTGGAGGAAGAGGAGGAGGAGGAGGAGGAGGAGGAGGAGGAGGAGGCCAGCGTCGTCGTGCAGGTTTATGCCGCCTGGCGCTTTCGAGTGCCTATGTCCACCAGGGCTGGCTCTCCCTGGCAGGAGTCAGGTGAGGCCCGCGGCGGAGGTGCGCGGCCTGATGGACGAGTGCTGTGAGGAGGGGAGGACAAGGAGCGTGAGGAGGAAAAGGAGGAAGAGGAAGAAGAGGAGGAGGAAGAGGAGGAGGAGGAGGAGGGGGGGAGGAGGAGGAGGAGGAAGGGGGGGATGAGGAATGTAGGAGGAGGGAGGAGGAGGAGACGGGTATGAGGAGGAAGAGGAGTAGGAGGATGAGGCGAGGAGGAGGAGGAGGATGAACAATAGGACGCGAGGACGAGGAGGAGTAACTAGGAAGAGGAGGAGGAGGGGGAATTAGGAGGAGGGAGGAGGAGGAGGAGGAGGAGGATGAGGATGAGGCGGATGGGGGGGACGAGAACGAGGACAGGACGAGGAGAGGAGGGAGGAGGCGGAAGAGGCGGGAGTATAGGAAGTGGTAGGAGGCGTCGGCGGGAAGGTGGAGGAGGCGGAGAGGAGGAGGAGGAGAGGCGGCGAGAAGGCGGAGGAGGGAGAGGATGAGGAGGAGGAGGAGGAGAAGGAGGAAGAGGACGAGGACGAGGACCAAGACGAGGACGAGGAGGAGGAAGAGGAGGAGGAGGAAGAGTAAGAGGAGGGAAGATGAGGGAGGAGGGTTGAGGGAGAAGGGAGGAGGGAGGAGGGAGGAGGGAGGAGGAGGAGGAGGAGGAGAAGGAGGAGGAGGGGGAGAGTATTGCGTCAGTGACGTCACGCAGCGAATCTAGATCGCGTGCGCACATGATTTG